GAGGATAGCTGAGTGTAGAATTGATTGTTGATTGATTGATCATTGATATATATATATATATATATATATATATATATATATATATATATATATATATATATATATATATATAAAGACTGTTATAACGTAATAGCAAATTGACATTAGGGGCGGATTAGGTCTAGTGGATAGTGTGATCTGGTCTTTCGAAATATTACTGTACCAACATACAGGTTCTTTATTAATATGTTTTGGACTATTGGTACTTCGGCATGACGCGTCACTTATTCTTCGAACTTGGCAGTTTAGTTGCAAACCTTTCACCACCATGCGAGGTGGCATCGTCAGTGCAGTGCGATGCAACACCCGATCTTGCTGATCTCAAAAAGGCAGTTCTAGTTTTTGAAGTGCGTGAAGTGACTTCCGTCGTTACGCGCCCATCGTTTCCGATGCAGCTGTGAAGAAATGTGGTTTACTTAACTACTACTTACCAGCAATGAATCGGAATACCTGTAGCTCAGGTGATCTGTTCAGATTTTGTTCTGTTCTCCGAGCTGAAGAGTTTCGTTGCAAACGTTTCATCACCAATCGTGGTGACTTCTTCACCAGGTGGTTGATGTCCTGTAACAACACTGTACACTTTGAAGGTGCGAAGCGCATGCCAAATGACGGGACCATTGGGGCTGATTGGATCTCCCCGACGTCGTTATACAGCAAGACGATATCGTCTGCATAATCAAGATCAGCTAGGTTTTCATAAGACAGCACCACAACGCTTGCGTCGTGAAACTTCGAGTCCACGGTGCTAATAATCTTGACGATCACTACTTGTTGTTGGAAAGGCATCCCACTAATTATCCTAGACCCTGACGCGGCCGGTCGTGTTCGAGTATAAAACATGTAAAATTTCACATGGGAGCACCTTTCCGCATAATTATTTCAAACGTCGATCGACTGAATCGAACGACTCTTGTGATCGAGCAAGACAGCTATTGTCGGTCTGCGGTATGTGTGGCGCTGTTCTAGCACATGCCGCAGAGTGGTTTATATAGCCCTGTCTTGGGCGGAAACCTGCTTTCTCTTCCCTAATCCGGCATCTCCATTCCGCGTTGAGGCGAGGAACGAGAAGTTAGGCCAGTAATTTTATCACAACTGGCGTTAGGCGGATACCCCTCACGCCTGACGCCTGGTTTTCTATGACCAGTGTTGCGGATCAGCTGGAAGAGCTTGCGATAATTGCTTATTGCTCCTGCTTCCTCCATTTCTTCCTTGTATGTATGTAGGCTCCGCTTTACTTCGCACATAATAGTCCGCATAGTTACGTTGTTCTCAGACTCAGCGGGGAGTTATCTTCTGGATTCCATCAGGTTCACTGACCTCTCGGATATCCAGTGACTGGTGCGGTGCTTTTGCGTCTCGCATGGCGGCCGAGATTCTACTCAATTGAAGCTCCATCTCATTAAGACAAGAGAGTGCAAGTTCGGCATGCAGTGCATCTTGGTAGACTTGTCTGACTGATTGCTGAGATAACTTCCCAATTGTCAACCGAGGGAGCCACTTGATGCGCCTCCTGGTGAAGGTCATCGCGAAACGACAGCATACCAAGACATACTCGGAGTCGACGCAAGTACTCCCAAAGGAGCGACAATCTAGGATTGAACCACGCCACTTGTAACTTATGGTAATGTGATCAATTTGGGTCTATTGCTGGCCTGCTACAGGAGAACGCCAAGTGGCACTTTGACACCCAGTGTTTCTAAAACCGGTGCTACTAAGACACAGCCAGCGCTGCGCACACAGCTGTAAAAGACGCTCACCGTTGTGCATACGGTCGAACTCCATATTTACCTCCTTGTATAGTTTCTGGAGATCTCAGACGACCAATTTGCGTATTTATATCCTCTGCAAGCGCTATGATATCTGAACTGATAACACTTCGTAGTAGCGCATTCCATTTGTGGTAATAGGCGTCCTTGATAATAGGATCAGAACTATAGTCGGTGATGGTACAAGCGGAAATCACAAATAAACAGCGTTTAATGCTATTTCCAGAATCCACCTTAGTTGATATTGTCAAACGGACTGCACGCAAACGACTGTTCACGGGAATCCAGTCGACGAACGATGACTCAGCCTTGAAGTTGAGAACAATGCTCAGTACAGCTTAATCGGTGGTTTCTGCACCAGCGTCTCCGGATTCGTGCAACCAACGGCGAGACAAACCGGGCGCAGTGAATCCAACAACCCCGCGGGAGTCATTCCTCCTAGTTTCGGACGCAACACACGTTCAACGTGCTTACAAATGTAGGCTGTTGACCGATTTGTCCCAGAGTGCGAACGTTGAACGCCGCCAGGGAGACGGGACATTGTGGCCTTATAAGTAGCTGTTGGCGATTGATGTCTAGTGGGTGGTACGGGAAGACAGTTGCAGTTGGTAAAACTTCACTGACATTGCGATTGCTGTCAGTGAAACTGGGAATTATGGAAGATTGGCAATGGAGATCGGGAGATGAGTAAAATGGACAGGTGAAAAGGAAAGAAAGGAGACGCCAGCAGTGGCATGCTTTGGTTTATTGGTTCTGTTGGATACAGCAGATAAGCAACTGTTGATAATCTACGCGACGGTCGATGCAGGTTGTGGTTGAGATTTGAAGAATTAGTCATGGTTTACTAATACAGGCAACGAACTAATTTTCGTTTGTACTTCAACGGTACAATGCTGCGATAATATATATATACATATATATATAGATATATATATATATATTGTTCTATCCAAGTGAAGTTCCGATAGAACCTCGATTATTATGCTCTCTACAGGAGTGATATGGGGCGGTTATAAGCATCCAGACGCAATTACATTTTGCCAGCCTCAGTGGTCCAACAGAGGGAAATGCCCAATGGTCCTAGACATTATTCATACAACTGGCACGCAGCCCCTGTAGCTTTGTCCATTATTGCTTTCCTTCTTTAACACTCATGTTATTCCATTTCAAAAAAGAAATAAAGAAAGCATCAGCAATACGCCGGTACGCACTACCAACGCTTCGCTGCCGCGCAACCTCCACCGGTCGCACGTGGGCTGTGGATACTATGAGAGTCGCCCGGTCCCCTACGCATACACGAACCCGCGCCTTCGGATTACAAGGCAGGCTTATGCTTCTGAAGGCTACGGGTCAGAAAGTATAGAACGCTTCACGATTTTGGGTGTCAAACAATTGAGGGGCTGGAGATTCAGTTACTAGAAATGGTTAAAAAGAAAGTGCAGGTTATTTGGAATAAACGCAGCGTTGAGTTGCAGGTTTACTGTAAACGCTGGCCTAGCAGTGTGTTCCAAGGTCACCTGATGGACAGCGACTGTTGGAATGGAGGAAGCGGCAAGAACATAGGAGTTACGGAAGGTGTAGTGGGAACTTAGTCTGAAGTGCAAAGAGTTCTCAATAGATATATGGAATTAGTTGGATGCATGACACTCAAATTCATTCAGCGGAGCATCAGGCACACTCTCCTTTGGAAAAGCTATCAATGTCATACCGTTGATGCATCTGGTCGATACATTCTTGGCCTCATGGCAGAACTATACAGCTCCTTTGTTGTGAGGGTTTAGCAGGTGATCTAAAATCAGGCTTTTCTAGAGGCTAAATTACACCCATGTTTTCAACATTTCCGGTTTGTTTGTTATGCAGCGCAGGCAGGTAAGAATAGGATTCCTGCCGGTCTCCGATGATTACTAGAGCTCAGTATCATATGAAGGATTAGTCCCAGATTACACTATGTTCTATTTACTAGAGAGTTTGCTCTGTTGTGTCATTAGTCGACAGATAATTTGGAATATTTAATGAAATAGTGTTATGTGGATTCTCTTTTTTCAATTGGCTCATATTTTCCTATCACTATCCTGATGGGTTGATGGGCCCAGTTTTGACTGGTTCACTTGTGTGTTGTTGCGCCCTGCAGATGACCCATAGCAGTTCACAACATTAGTTGTATTGTCTGTTTGTTTTCGCCATTTAGTTTGGAGTCCTATTGCAGTGGCTTTGAACTTACCTAGATTTTGACAGTTGCCTGGTCATTTGTGTTGAAGCACAAAGCACTACTTGGTCGCTTCCTTTCACTGTCAGTACCTGCACTCGGTTGGGACACTATGGTCGAGCATGTGGGGACGTAATGTGTTATAGTGTAATAAACCAGTATTTCTACCTAATGCGGGAAACGGATCTTAAAATAGGAATAGATAAGTACATGCAGAAATTATAGGTTTTTAAATATCTTTCGGCCCATCCTGAGATGCTTCATCAGGTGATTTATCGGATGAAGACATGACTTATACTACCTCCAGGTCACAGAAACTATCGATTTTGGTGTGGAATGATGTTGGGTTTTCATTTCCCCCTAATGTGGTTGACAAGCTGTTCCACAAGACAGCGTACCTGATGTACAAAGTTGGAGCTCGTGGTTGTTCTAGCCCTTGATACAAATAGCGTATTTTTTGTTGCGTGCTCTTTGATGCATACCTTGCCTTATCTCTGAGGTAACACATTATATAATAGCATCATTCAAGCTGAGGAATCAGTCTTCGGCCACTATCATAATAGGAATGGCTACATTCAACAATGTGAATGATGTCCATGTCAACCCAGGAGTGATAGTGAGATAGATAGTTAATCTAAATCGCACCTGTCAGGGCTGAATTTTCAGGGGCAACTCGGCGTAGCTCTTTGTCGCGAATGATGTTCTCTTCGAAAAGAAATCTAATTACATTTCTAAGCAGGGTGTTTTGTGTGGCCCAACAACTTTCCTGCTTTCTCTCCTTTTATCACGCTTGCTGCTATTTCACTTCTTACATATCTTCCCCACATCTAGGTCCTTGTTTTTGTCTTTTATTGTTATCATTACTTGAAGTCGCCCAAACAAAAACGTCTGGTGTTGGCAAATCAGCCGAGTAGCTTCAGTATCAGTCTTAATTACGTACGGATAACTATCACAGCCACATTTAACTGTCTTACGTTACTTCCAATCAGATTAGCGAATTTGGCAAGACCGAAACTCGGGACTTGATTGAAGATGGCCGCAATGTCCATGTTACAGAGCAGAACAAACGGGAATACGTTCGTTTGGTGTGCCAAGAGCGAATGACTGGAGCCATCCGACAACAGCTGGATGCATTTCTTGGTGGATTTTATGAAATAATCCCTAAACGTATGATTAGCATCTTTAACGAGCAAGAGCTGGAGCTACTTATCAGTGGTCTCCCAAACATTGACATTACTGACTTGAAAGCGAATACCACGTATTCCAAGTACCAAAGCAATTCTCCCCAAATTGAATGGTTCTGGTCTGCTCTGGAGTCACTTGATCAGGAAGATCGCGCCAGATTCTTGCAATTTGTTACAGGCACAAGCAAAGTGCCCCTTGGGGGTTTTGCCAATCTCGAAGGAATGCATGGACCGACCAAGTTTCAGATTAGCCGCGCCTCGGTTTCCAGCACGAGCCATCTTCCTTGCGCACACACCTGGTGAGCTTAACGTTGCTTATGCCACTATCATTACCTCACTTTGAAGACTTCCGTGCCTCGTTGTTTCAGTTAAGCACTGTTTCCTTGATCCGGCCATTCCCGATTAGCATTTGGACTTATTATTTTATCAGTTACCGACCTATTGAGACATCTACAAATATGTGCTGCATTCGCCAAACAAATCTGTAGTCTGCTTTTGAATGTAGTGTCATATTTCCATTTTCAAGCGTACTTTGGCATCAACACCAGTTAGACGCATTTCGAACGGTACGGTGGCACCATTGGTTTGTTTGCGATCTGTCCTCAGTCGCCCGAACTGTTTATACTATACGATAAATCCCACCGTTTGTAAATTTTAATCTATTCGCTTCGCCCACGGCCTTTCACATGTGTCGCCGTCGTTCAGTTGATCCAATATCGTTTAATTGATTTACCTTGACACCCGCTAATCTAAAGTCGCTGCTCACCACCTCTATCTCGCGAATACTTCCCTTTAGTTTCTTATTTTTACACTTGCATAGATCTAACTGACAACATGCGTTATTTATTGGGACTGGGAACCACAGTTCATCGTAAATTCTATACCATTTTCCCCGTGCTTCGTCTAATGGCTTATATCATCTCGCTTTCTCTCCATTCAGTTTCAACACCCTAGTCCTCCCTGCCTACGAAACGTACGACCAATTGCGCTCTAGACTTCTCATTGCTATCAGGGAGTGCAGCGAAGGTTATGGAATGGCTTGATTATTAAAGTGCACAGTTTGACCATGTCTCGGGGCTTGTGAATTCTCTCTCCCTCCCGTTCTATACCTTTTCTGTGATGAATTGCCCTTATCATGCAGGCCCCCTATCTTTCTCACCGAAACAACCTCAGTACCAAATTTGTTGTTTCTGGTCGTTAAATTTCTCTCCATCATCGGCCTTTTTGGCCTTGTGGATTTGCTTGCTATCTCTTTTCCATCCGTTCTCCCTCATTCATGTGAGCACTGCCTCCTGAATGCCACGATTCCTTTCGTGCGCTTGTACATCTCTTTTACCATCTACCATCTACTTCAGACCTTTCATCAAACGTCCACTTCACCCCTTCCTCTTCTTCCGTTTGTAGTTGACAACGTGTATTGAGGCAGTTGCTCCTATTTCCCCTTTGAATGACCTGCTCGATTTTGTCTATCCTAACTACTATTATTGGATAATGTCACATATGGAAGCGATTCCAACAAGGAATCATTTCGATGCATCAACGTTTCAGTGTTTTGGAATACTCAATTCAACTATTTTATCCCATGGTTTTCATCAGAGCTTGTATCTCTTTTCTTGTGGTTTCCTTAAGTCGCCTGCGTTCGTTCCGTGCTGCATGAGTCAGTGTACTTTTACAACTGCCGTCTTGGATGAGCACCGGATTTCGGACCACATATTGTTCTTGCGTAGATCATCATTTCCTCAGAGGAACTGCACAGGTGTCTGTGTGATAGGATGTCACCGGTTCGGCTAGCGAGTCCACTTTGTAAGTGCAACCCATTACTTCACTCACATAGCCCCATATGGCAGGCTGCTGGAGGATCGCTGGTACAGTAATCCGGCAATGTTAACACTAGTAACATACTTCTGTTACTCTCCTGATTGAGTTCAATCGAACTCATGGTACTGTCAATGACTGGTATTGATGCTATCTATCTAGACACTCGTTTCTGCGTAAAGGACGTTTTTTAATGTCAATCCACTTCTTGTTTGCGTTGGTTTTCCTGCTCACGTATTGGCCGCACTATTTCATCACGGCCTCAGAGCCACGGGTCATCTTTGCAGTTTTATCCCGAAATATCATCAACTCGATTAGCATAGGGCACAGGCACTACAGACTGCCTCTGGTGTGGTGAGGGCACAACCATCGCTCACTGGTTCCCCGGACAGCTCTTGATCGATAGGAGGCTAATTCGCCAAGACTACGACGAGGTTGGTTTTGATCGCATTTGTATCATGTGATACGAAACCAACATATTCACACCTTATTTTTAGCGTTTTGCCAACTTGCGCATTGTCCTCACGCGGTTCCGCAGTTGTGTTCTTGTGCTGCGTTTGTTACTCGTGGCGTTGCGGGTCATGCTATTGATTTGAGGCTCCAATGAGATCTTCATCCATCTCAATACCTTATGTAACTGACTCCGTAGTAAAGGGATATAATGAGTACCGTCCAAAGGAGTGTGTTTATGGCGTGACAACCGGGACATATTCTCTGTCCCCACGGTACTTTCACTGGCGTTCCTCCTTTCTGCGGTTGTGTGTGTATGGCTAGTAAGCGATGGAGTACCGGACTTCAGCGGACAGTCTAGCAAGGTTACTGAGTTGAGTTTCAGTTATTGCGTACGATTCCATGTTAAATTTTACCTTTCAGAACGGCTCTCAGACGATACTCGGCTTTACAGTCCACTCTCGGGATCGGGATTCGCTGTCTCTCCGAAATATAAATCTAGTGGTAGTTCTCTGATGCACCTCTAGTTATCGGGTTCGGATTTCTTTTATACCTCTTGTCTTCGGCAACACTGGATCCACAGGTTGCTGCACTCACGGCATCTGGGTGGCTCTAGCGCTTTTCTCGAGTTCGCACCAGCGTATGTGTGGTTTGAATCTACTATCAATGATAGGTGCAAGGCTGCATGTCCGTCGTCTTGCGTATGCTCCTTTCGCCAGCCCGGAAGCTATCAACTCACGTACTATGAGCATCTCTCACTCTGAACTCGAACGGACACAAGTACGGACGTTGAATTCGCTTCGGGTGCACCGCTCGTCGGATTTCGATCACTACATCTCGAGTTGTTTGGGGCTTCGACTTTTGCCCCACCGATAATGGCGCCTGCTTGGTTCGGGTATGTGCTGGCCGGGGCTTTTATACCAGTGGCACAAGCGTTCTCTTTGAGTCGTATGACACCTTCCAATCGATAAGCCACCATGATCTCCATTTGATCATGTGACCATCGCTAATACTTGGCGCGCATCAACTGAGGGTTGTCAATTCTGTACTTGCTGATCTTCTCACTTCGGCATCAAATTAGCTCTGATTCAAAAACCGACTGCTACAAGATAGATTTTGATGAACCGAACATCCGTTGGAATCACTCCATCCAAACCGATATCCTCCCAATTGCCACTCCATTAGCAGACCGGTTTTCTCAGTTTCGCTGTTCTACGTAGACTGTCTGAAGTAGCTCCGTCGGTTGATTAGCTTCATTGCACCCCTGCGAAATAATGTCTAAACAAACATATGTTACTGAATTCCTCCCTCCACTTTGTGGCAAGAAAAAATCATGAGTTGAACTAGATCTGCACCTTTTCCCGATCGCTTACATTCATAGTCAAAATAAATTGCGCCTTAATGATCTGATTTGCATTCGTAAGCCAACTGAACTTGGTCGTTAACCCATTTGAAATGCATCCAGTGTCCTTGCAATGCACTATGCGTGTGTACTCGTGAAATTGAGCCAGTCCAGATCAGCCAATGACTGTAGACGTAATAACCCTTGTATGAATAGTATGGGTTGATGGTGTGTCCTGGAAACACAGTGGACCTTCTAAACTCTATTCAGTGGTTAATCTAAAGCCAGTTCCTACGCAGTTCAGGGGCACAAAGATGTCCAAAGTCACATGAGTGGACTACCATGTGCGTAAAACCATGCTTTGCCCACGACACCAGTGCGTGGGAGGCGTTTAACACCGAAATGCGACACCCGATTAGTCATTTTAAGGTTAGCTTGTCACTGTACTTGAGCCCACAAATTGCGTAGCCTAAAGGATTGGACGACCTGCCAAACACTGGAGCTTGACACGGATCTACGACTGCAAAAGTGCTGTGTGTCCGGATATGAAGACGTTCCCGGATGAATGATCGGGGCGTGTGGTGCCAAAATGCTAAGACACGCCTGCGAGCGAAACGACAAAAGGGGCCTGCGCAACTTGCAAATGAAAGCTCGCCTTGGGTAAGTGGGTGACGTCTTGAGCGGCGTTCCGGTGACAAGGCTGATAACGAAATACGACCACCGCAATTTTGTTACCAGACAAGTAGGTAACTGAAGACCTGCACAGCCTAACTCGAACGCAGTATCCCATACCATCCAGCCCGAAGGTAAAGATATGACAACGCACTTGCCATAAGGTGCATGAATTCGAGGGAAAATTGGTGTCACTTTGTGGCAAATGTGCACACGATGAAGTTTCATTTGATTGCTTGAAGGTTTCGTGTTCTCTTGAACATTGTACCACTAGCAATTAGCGGACGACTCAGGATGCACCACCTACATGAGCACGAATTATGCGCTGAAGCGAGCGCAGTCGACCGCATAGCTCTCTGACATGCTTGAAAACAGGCGACAAACAGCTATTTCGCATCCTGAGACGGATCAGTGGCTTATATCTGACGCGTTATCCTGGCATGTCTCACAGTAACTATCCTCACGCAGCCAAATGTCACTTACGACATTATGCAATTTTGACCTACTCGTAATAGTCCGCTTAATCTAACGATTACTAGAATGGCTGCTCCTTTTCTGCGCATAGTAGTCCTCTTCACAACACCAACGACAGGCCAATCCCTCCTCCGTCAACTAGCTACGCACTTAACAACACCTTGAGGTTTCACCATTCGCGGCACTGTAGTCGTGATTGCCAAGGATAATCCGGATACTGTCTAGTCGTCTCGCACCGCCTAACGCGGGAACATGCGTGAATTCCCTGCAAAAGAACTTGGGCTGAACATCATGGTTTTGCCTGAATGTCGAACAATGGCTTCACGATACACGGCAGTGACAACACCAGTTCAAAGTATCTACATTTAGGTCAGCGAAATAGTTTACGAATCAACACAATGAAATGCGCCGACGTAAGTCCTCACATAATCTATCATGTGCTGGGGCGTCACGCAGTCTCGTGCCTCTTACACACTTCGCATGCATTTGCTTTATTGTTATCAGCCTTCTTTCCAAATATCGCGCTGTTGTGCTACCGTTCACCTCAAGCATGAACCCTGCTTTCAACCTCAGGCGAAGGGTTTAGAGAGTGGCCGTGTGTTTCGACGATACCCATTCTACCAGGCAATCAATGTTACGCTCTGCTTGATATCTTCGTCAATCCTCACCATGCATTCTCTTGATTCCAATCTTGGTATCCAACTGCAGCAGATTTTCAGCTTAAGGTGTAGTAACCGTGCAAGTTGCTCCCAGTGGTCTCCTTCCACATAAGTCCTCAGTATTCTGCTCTTGTCCTTCGCGGAGTGGCGTGCACAGGTCTCATCTTCTGCCATTCTGATTCACCCAGATGGTTTACCTATATAATTGTCTTCGCAAGCATCGTAATGCGGGACGCATGTCACGGTTTCCTTGCACGTAAGTGTGCTCCAATGTTCGAGGATTGTCACCCATCAATCAAACCAATGAAGTGAAACACATTGCTGGCTGACATGCATCTTGGTCACAGCGACTGTAGCCACAATTGTGACGCTCTTCCTTATGAGCTTCTCATCTCAACCCTGCGTTTCGTCCATCTAAACTAGACTCGCCTACTCCAACTGTGAAACCCATCCCATGTTCACCATCATTAAGACCCTTGCAATCTTGAAATTTATTGCACTACCTTACCTGTCCCAATCTTCAATCCATTAACGCAGGTGTTATTTCCGGTGGCATTGTGATTCTTGAGGATGAGTGTAAGCGGGGCTCGGAGTTCTGCATTGATGCCACATCCATGTTCCAAAAATGTGATTACACTGCATACTAGCCCGTGCAACGTCAAATGTACCAGTTGGCACTTAACATTTGGCGCTCCCAGACGGCGCACCTTTCATTGTGGATACAGGCTCATTATGGCAAACACAACCCGGAGTGTACGACCGCATCGCGTTTGCAAGTTGTGCAGATTAAGGGTTAGGACAACGTATCAACGCTCGGACTGCACACCTACGCTGTATCCTGATATCAAGATAATCACAGATAGAGAACTGCGAAATATATGGGCCTGTGGTGCCAAAATGCTATGCCGTGCTTACGAGTAAAGCGACGAAGGGGGTCTGCGAAGTTTGAAAGTGCAAAATAGGTTGGAATGTGGCCGTCTTGGGTAAGAGAGACGTCTTCAGCGGCGCTTTGATGAGATGGCTGATGCCGAAATACGACTGCATCATTTTTGTTGCGAGGCAAGTAGGCACTACTTTATTGCAGCAGACGTCGCTTACTGTTAGGGTAGCTACAGTACACCGACATGATGATTCCCGAATAAAATGAGGAACTACGACGAGGCTGTGGGCAGTTCGCATCGACTGATCTGTACACACATG